ATATGTCCCTCTCCTGGCACTGCAGTTTCAATGCCGTCCTTTGAAATAAATAATTCTTGTGGGTGGGGGGGGCAGGTGTCCACTTAATAGTTGGAATTGGGCCCGGCCCCTCATGATTTTTATTTTTTAATTTCAATTTTCCATGAACCTTGTGGAGGCCCCTCCATGTTAGATAATCCATTCACAAACATGGCATTATTTTGTGTATATTTATCTATTTTGAGTTTCTCTTTTGTATGATGTGAGGGGTAAGTTGTTATGTCAGGACCAGGTTGTTTAGATTATTGTAGCTGTTTGCGTTCATTCCTCCCTTACTGACATAAGTTAGGTTCTGAAGACCAGATTGTTGTGCAAAAATTATAAGAGAATGGAGGATGACTGCCAAATTGCATTGTATCACCAAAAGTTATGGCCCAGCCAAGGTGACAGTGACACCTAACTTTAACTGTCACAAGCCAATGTTAACTCTTGAACCTTGGAGTTTGGTACTGTAGTTACATGGTTAATGCACAAAGTAGATAGATTTCGTGCTATTTAAGTGCTAAATGTTACTCGTCAGGCCTTTCACCCTCCCATTTATTGATGTTTTTGTTTTGTCTTTGATTCCATTTAGACCCTTTTAAAAAAATGAATCATTCTAATGTCTTTAATTTTAATCATGTATAGTCGGTATATTTAAAACCATAAAACATTCCATCTGGCTTGAGATCTTCACTTAAAAATTAATCCTCCTCTTTCCCATAGTGGTTAGAGATAACCACTATTCTGAATTCAATATTTTAACGTCTGCATCGTGATGAATGGGTTTTTGTAGGTCCTAACTTTATTAAAGAATAACAGTGTTAATAAGTTTTAGGATTTTATGTAATTATATATAATCGACCTTTATCCTAAATGGAAGATGATTACATTTATTTTGAATTTTTCATTGGTGAAAATCTTTGCTAAACTTAAGATGTATTCTCAACATGCAACCTAATAACTAGGGCTTAATTTGACATTATTTTCAAACTAATTTTTACACTTTAAATAGATGATGAACAACATGGGTGGTGATGAGGATGTAGATTTACCAGAAGTAGATGGAGCAGATGATGTAAGTCTATTAATTCTTTTCTGTTTACTTTAATAGTAAGAAACAATGTATTTACAGGTTGTTTTACATATTCAAGATTAATTTCTCTGCCCCCCATATTAATGTTTTTCCTTAAAAGAAAAGGTGGAGTTTAAAATTCGCCTTTTCTGAGGTATGAGTGTACCTACTTTCAGAGGACTAGATTTCCAAAGATTCATTGCATAAAAATGACATATACCCAATCAACTGAGAGCTAGTTTAGCAATTATTTTGATTTTGTCATATTAGATTAGAAAATTATATTCATTTTATAGGAAGATTAAACAGAGACTATAATATGTAAAACAGATATGAGAAAGAATATAGTAGATCCCTTTCATGACATTTTCCCCTCTAAATTCTGTGTTACCAACGACCAGAAGGTTGTTCAGTATGCTTTGGGAAGTGCTTACTTGGACTAATTTAACAGTGAATGTTCATGCCAGTGATTGTCAAACTGAGCCATTTTTTAATTCCCCTCCCACTGAAGGTAGACTTGAGGGACAGTTACTATCAGAATTGTCCGGTTGATAGGTAGGGATTCAAGGGATGGGCTAAATTTTCACAAAGACATGTACCAGCTTGTACTGGAAGATAAATCCCCAGCTCAACATCTTTTCACCCTAAGTAAACCATGCATTTAAATCCAGTGAATAAATTCCTTCACTTGGTTTAACCATGTGCCTTTGCTATGGTCATCAAAAGTACAGTGTTTCAACTTTAAAGTAAACTTTTCAATTGACAGGAGTGTTCAGTCACCTTGGTAACCTTTTTTTATCCCCTCTTTTGCAGGACTCACAAGACAGTGATGACGAAAGTAAGTGCATTTGTTAAAAAATGTGTTTATGCAGTAGTGGTTCACATCAAAGAATAAAGTTGTTAATACTAACTTTTTTCATTCTTTCAGAAATGCCAGATCTGGAGTAAGACATGTCACCGAGATTTTGAGAAAGAAAAATAACTTCTACAAGATTTCATAATCGAAAGAATTCCTGATTGATAGCTCTAAAGGCAGATTCTGTATTTGCCTTCTTTAACCCATTTTCCAAACTGTTTGTTTTTTAAAAGGCTTCACTAAGGGTTGATAAGTACCATTGTATGGGGACAGTTTTAAGTCAGCTAAGGCAATAACCTTATGCATGAACATTTCCCAGACTTCCGTGACGCTGTTGAGGTCTTAGGCAAATGATTCAGCAGTTGTAATAAATAAAACATTTCACCTGAGTCTCCTTTACTTCATAACATAGATACTGACATATGAGAGGAAGCTCTCAGCTTAGGGAAAGATAACTAAAATTTAGATTTTAGTTCCTGAGTCAAAATGACTGAAATAAATTGGCTGGCATAGTAAACTGGTAACCTGCTGTTCCTCTGTTGTACTTTCAGGATTATTCCACTAAAGCTTTGTTTTTCAAGAGATTTACTTCACATTGTATGTAAGTGATCACTTGTCAGTGTTCCAAATGTATCTTAGCTAAACCTAGTGAACGACATAATTTAGATGGTTTTTGAAGCCTGTACATTTGGTATTATTTGACCCTTAAGCTTTTACATCTCTTAGCATGGAGGACAAAGGAAAGCTGTACATTGTTGCTTGAGAGCCTGTACATTTAGACCAAATTTGTATTTTCACTGTCAAGTATGGGAAATAAGTGAAAAAATGTTAATACACTATTGGATTTTTTATTTTGTTTTTAATTCAGCTTGTACCATGGCTGAAAACCTCAATTTGTGTTCATGACAGTGGGGATTTTTTTTTTTAATATCTACATTCTTTCTAATAAACTGTTGGAAGACTTCTTGGCTGTCCTTTAAAAGGTGTCTGGTTTACTGTAATTTCGTGTATTGCCATGTACTGGCATGGAGTTATATTTTTGAGGAAGAATTTGGGAGTATTCCTGTTTGAGAAGAGGCTTGTAATGTTCACAGGAAACCTTTTTCAAGTGGATCTGTAATGGGAAATTGTAGATGCACTTTGCAGCAGTTGGAAAAGAAAGTTTGTGATTTGATTGAAATAAAACTGTTGTCCTCCTAAATCTTTGAGCCTTGTACATCTTAGCACTTGTATTCCCTCCAGTTTTTGTATTTGTTAAAGTATAGAAAAATGACTTGCATTTTAGCATATCTTTACGTCAGATAGCTACCCCTATCCCTGAAAATAAGACAGTGTCTTATATTAATTTTTGCTCCCAAAGATGCACTAGGCCTTATTTTCTGGAGATGTCTTATTTTTCCATGAAGAAAAATACAGTACACATTTATTGTTTTATAAGAGACGTCGCAATTCCTGTCAGCTCCGGCTGCGCTGCAGCCAACATTGAGTTGTGTGGTAGCACCCGCTGCTACGTTCCAGAGTTCTGGTAGCTTCGGG